AATAATAATAATAATTTTATATTATTATTCCTATGACAGTAATAGCCATATATTGTAAAACAATTGCACTGTGAAATAAATATAAATGATTTTTTTTTTCTTCAGGTATATTATTTTTACCTTACTCTAATGTAGGGAAATTGCAATACTTTTGTCCTAATTTCTACACTTGCAAGCAGGGCCTAAAACTAACGTTCACATCTGCCAGTGGCTGGTGACTTCAGAAAATTTACCGGCCTTAAAGGTGCCATAGAATGGAAAACTGTATTTACTTGGCATAGTTGAATAATAACAGTTCTGTACATGGAAATGACATACCGTGAGCCTCAAACACCATTGTTTCCTCCTCCTTATGTAAATCTCGTGCATGCAAAAGACCAGTGAAAAACAGGCGAATCAGAACATAACGCTGACTGTGACGTTACAGTCGGGATCACTAATAGTTACGCCCCCAACATTTGCATATGAAGAGTTCAACCAATCAGAGCATTTTTTTAGGTTTTGCTTTTAAATTTCCGTGCGTTTTATTTCTCTCCAAGCTGGCTCTGTTTGTGTGTCCGTGAGTCTGCGCGCTGAGATGAGGAAACGCCTGCATCTGAAAACACACGCCGAGCATCTTCCCTTGTAATGACTAAACATTTTGTCCAACAACAAAAAAGAACATTATAACATTCTTTTACTGCACAACATCAGTCATCAATAATTTCCCTCTTGATCTGATGTGGCAGAAATAAATTGTACACTGGAATAACGGCAATTAGCAGTGGATTATAAATATAACGTTACTTAATTATTAAAATGCTTGAGGTGGTTTTAAGAACACAGATAAACATTGTCGCAGTACATTGTTTATTATCTTAATGTTCTTTTTGAATGTCATCTTTCAAAGCGTTTCTGTTGTCTTTTATTCAGTTACAGCGATAGCTGGCTGTTTTTGTCCATATTAGAGATTTTCTGGAGCGTCCTGAGTTCTATTTCTTCTACAATGTATATGTGGATTTTCTGCGCGAGGGCGCCCTCAGGCATCCAGTGTGAATGAAACACACATTACATGTTCACAGCACTAAATAATGGCCAATCCATAAAAATAATACTTATTTTTTTTAAATAGCATTTAAAAACAGCAAAAAAGAACTAAACCAAAAACTAATAAAAAAAACTAAAAAAAAACTGAGGTATTTATTGAACCGTGGGCTAACTATATTGTTGCATCCCCTACATTTTACTCTAAAATACTGTATAACAGGAATATCACAAACTGAGTGCAGACCTTGATTATTAACCTATAAAAAATATTTAAATCTTTAAATCTTGCAAAAAAAAAAAAAAACATTTGAAATTAGAACCAACCACTGCATTCTAATCATGATACAAACAAAGATACAAAGATAAAACCTGCATGAAACAAAAACAGGCAGACAGGCTGAACGAGAAGGCAAATTCACTCGCTGACAGCAGGTGGCGCTTATGGATCAGCAGTGATAAGAAGGGAAAAATGCCATCGAAACTTTTGTGAAGTCAGTTCCCTTCAGAAATATATGACGCGAAAAACACCGGATCACGAGCCGATCGCGTGCGCAAAGTGTGCGCTTCACTTTGAAACAAGCAGCGCAAACAGACTTGATAAGTCATATTACGCTTTCGGTTTTAATTCGTTTGACGGATACTTGCCCAAGCAATGGCGTAAAACACAACGTTAAAGAACTTTTATGTTATATGAGAAGTATAAATATATCTTCGGTTTATTACTGTGGCGGGCCGCCACAGTCCAGTTAATGAATTTGAAACACTGGTGTGTGTCCCGTTATATCTGGCGTAAAAGCAACACAGCATTTAATCAAAAGAACATCATAGCAACAGTCAAACATGGTGGTGCTAGTGTGATGGTCTGGGGCTGCTTTGCAGCTTACAAATTAAGGTTTTGGAGTGGCCAAGTAAAAAGTCCAGACTTAAATCTGATTGAGATGCTGTGGCATGACCTTAAACAAGTCCATTCATGCTCGAAAACCATCCAATGTGGCAGAATTAAAACAATTCTGCAAAGAAGAGTGGGCCAAAATTCTTCCACGGTGATGTAAAAGACTCCAGTTATCGCAAACGCTTGATTGCAGTTGTTCCTGCAAAGGGTGGCACAACCAGTTATTAGATTTAGGGGGCAATTAATTTTTCACGTAGTGCCAGGCAGGTTTGGACAGCTTTTTTCCCTTAATAAATGAAATCATTATTTCAAAACTGCAGTTTGTATTTATTCGGGTTATCTTTGTGTAATATTAAAATTTGTTTGATCTGAATCTTTTAACTGTGACAAATATGCAAAAAAACAACAAAAAAAAACAAGGAGGCAAAAACCTTTTCACGGCACTGTGTATATATATATGTATATATATATATATATACACAGATATATATACACAGATATATAGATATGTAGATATCAGGGCTTGAAGTTCTCCGGCATGCAGCGTTTGGCTGCGGAAAAAAATAATCCTACATTTAAAAAAAACTTATTGATATCACTTTCGAGTCCATAAGTTCGCCTACCAATGGTATGAGAGGAGCACAGCTTTCACTCTCAAACAAATTAACATTACTAGCCAATCAGAATGTTTTGTTCTTTTAAACACGAGACGCGCATCGCAGCCCTGATGAATGAAGAAGTGCGACAAAAAGCTGTGAGGCGCAATGAACAAAGATGTCCATCTAGTGCATATTTACAACAGCTCAGGGTAATCACGTCATCTCCATAAGAATGACATGATTGCCAGAACAAATTTACCGGGATTTTTGAAAAGGTCCTGTTCACACATGATCTCTATCTCTTAATGGTAACTTACCGGTAATTTACCAGTAAAGACTGTCTTTGTGACTCGTCCTCTGCATATGCTGTGAGTTTGAATTGCTTAACGTTCATCTGGGAAAACAGTGTGCATTATCTCACTAGATTTGTAACGTAAATCATCTATAAACCTTTGCCAACACAGGAGAATACTTCAACCTATTTCTAAATATGCCATTTATTGTACATCGCAATTTCAAAATAAACGTTTCTGAGTTTGTATGTGGCCAAATATAAAAATTTAATGGATTTAAAGATCGTTTAATCACACTGTAAAGTGAAACGTCACCAGGCCGGTTTCGCCCTCTGCTGGAATTTGTTATAATACATAATGTACTTAAGTCGGTTATGTTCATATTATGTATAGGCATTAGGGCTGTCAAAAATTTTTTTGAATTTCGAATATTCGTCGAAAAAAATAAAAATAAAAATCCACATTCGAATGCAAAAGCATTGCATTTGAATTTAAGGTCTGCGTCAGCCGTCATTACCAAAATAATCATTAGTTGCAGCCCTAGATTAGTTAAAATATTTAAAAATACAACTGCATTGTTTTACACTTTGTAATTAAGAGACAAATATTTTGTCATTGAAAATGTCTTAAAAATATCTTCTTAGTATTAAAGAGGTATTAGTATTAAAGAAATTATTAATTTCTTAGTATTAAAATAGTCACGTTCTAGTGAACCAAGTATCTGTATGTTGTCTCATCTCATGAGCTAAGTGTATTGTCACACCCCTAGTGTTGATAAGCGGTGGTATAGCTCATGATTTTCCAAGTGTATGATATAGCTTTCATTCTTCAGGTCAGGTTTTATTCATGAAATGAAAAGAAAAAATCAGTTTGAATAAGGAAAGCGATAACTTTGTCATAGCATCCTTTCAAATGTTAAAGTTGCCACAGTCATTGCATGCTTTGCATGTGCTGCCCCCAAACCCCCGGAAAAAAGTTCAGGCTCAGGATTTTTTTTTGCTTTAACTCCTGAGATATTTAAGATGGAACTGACGGTTTTTATGTGTGTGTTTGGCTGTTTTTGCTAACATGATGAAAAGACTCCAACAGCAAGGAAGGTATATCAATACTCTGTGGGTTCAGTTCATGTGTCCGAACACAGCATTGCACATTATGTGTACATTCACTCTTTATTTCACCAGTTTTTGTCTGTTGTTTGTTTTGGTGGTTTTCACTTCTGTGGTGTAAAATTGCAGTTTCCATCCCAGCATCTGACTGAAACACCCACGCACCACATGCTTGCATGATCTCACGCGGATCGCATATCATCTTTCCGTGTCACCACAGTCATAAACCATGCTGATTGATTGTTGATAGATCTTCACTATTCAGATATTTTGAATCTCACATGTCTGAGGTGTCACAGAGAAGAACAGCATCCTTCAGATGAGTTCAGCATGTGGAAAACACACTTGGGCTGTGATGCATCGATAAGGATTGGGTGTTTAGATTAAAAGATCAAATCAAGGTTCATCTAATGATAATCTAGTTGCTCCAAACTTTAAAATTGGGTCAACATAATTAGGATTACAAAATATGAAGGTTTTACTTTTAGATTTACATGTACATTTAGTTATTTAGCAGATGCCTTTATCCAAAGAGACTTACAAATGAGGACAAAGGAAGCAACCAAAATCAACAAAAGAGCAATGATATGCAAGTGCTATAACAAGTCTCTGTTTTTTAATAATAAATAAAAAGAAAACAAGTAGATAGCATAGAAAAAGAGTAGAGAATGTTAATAGGCGCGTTTCCATTACAGATTTGCGCAAAACTTTGGCGATATTTTCTGAATGTCGATAAAAAAGTATTGCGAAATGACGGCGTTTCCATTAACCAATGTTATGCGGCTAAAACATAACCTTTTGCCTCTCGCAATAAGTCATGGCAACGGATTTTGGCTATATTTATTCAAAGGAGACATATGCGTGTATCTTTACAGAAGCAGCAAAGAGAGCCGCTCAATTTGTGCAATTTGAAGGGTAATGGAAACGCGCCTAATGTTAGAGGGTCTCTTTTTTTTATAAAGAAAGAAAAGTAGAAAGAATAGAAAAAGAATGGAAAACGGTAGTGTTAGAAGATCTTTTTTTATTTAATAAAAAGAAAGCAATACACAGAATAGAAAAAGAATAGAGAATACAAAATCATTGCACATACAGTGTATAGTGAATAACCAAATATCTCCCGGCATCAGCCAAAGTTCCTCATGTTGAAGTTCATATCAGTGACCTTTTTATCAAAACCCATTTCTGCCACAGAATAAAAAAAAAGGTAATTGCGACTTTTTATACCACAGTTCTGATTTATTTTTCCCAACAATTGTGAGTTTATGTCTTGCAATTCTGTTTAGATCTTGCAATTCTCCGTTTATATCTCATCATGCTATGAGGAAAAAAAGTCAGATTTGTAAGAAACTCAGAATTGTGAGAAAAAAATTATTGTCATTTTTTTTTTTTATCTCATGGCAGAAATGAGTTTCCAATCTTTTGTGGTTGTGGGAATCATATTCATTTCCTGATGCTGTTTTAGGGAAACCATTCATTTGCTGCAGATCCTCAGTGTTCCTCCATCCGTTCATGCAGTGTTTCTCTTTCTCTGTTAAAATCTCTTTCCTGCTCGCAATCCCTTCAACTGTTCCCTCTTCTCTCTCTGTATTCTCCTGCGTGTGTTTTGTGCTCCTCCCTCAGCCTCCTATGCGTCGTAGTACCAAGGTGAGCCTGCACACCGCAGCAAAGCATTCTGGGAAATGTCTGGGCCAATGTAGGGCTATGTTCGGAATGGAATACTATTTATAAAATGAACCATGCAACTAATGTAACATAGTATTGTCTGGAACATTTTTCCCATGTAAATGAGGCTTATGACTGGAAATGATCTGGTGAGATTTTCCATCTTTTCTGATGGTTTGTGTTGGTACGTGTGCTAGTATTCCCATCCGAACTGAGCCTCGCTCTCATTTATCTGCTTTATTCTCACTTTGACTGCACTGAAGTGTTCTCATTAGCATTAATTAATTTATCTCAGGAATAGTAATATCATCAATTTAATGCACACTATTGGATGAGAACACAACTTGAGCTGAATGTTGACACTCTTCTATAGAGCTGCTTTATAGTTGCATCGCATTAGTTTCATAACTGACCGATTCTGCATCATCAACACTGTTATTGAACTGAATTGAAACTGCATTGAATCTGAATCGATCTGTGTAATGATGCTGTTGATTTCTGTAGAGCAGATGAAAGTGAATTAGTTTCATAATTGATGAATTATGCAACATTGACACGGTTATTTTCCTGTTCATCACTGTGAATCTGTGTGACTAGATAATTAGGTCGTCTGGTGTTTTCATCTTAACGAGCATTTGTGTAATGTTGCGTGTTGGTCCTCTGTATGGAGGCAGTAAGCGAGCGTGAGGTTGATGTGTGATGTTGTGTATTGTGCGTAACAGTGGCCCACACCCAGACGTCTTTCCAGCTCCAGCTCCCTCCCCTCTCTCATCATGGTACGTCCCAGATCTCAAACCCTCTCTGAGGGGGAATCACACGCTTCTGGAGATCTTCACTGATAATCACAGCATCGCTGGCCCAGTTTACAGCTGCTGTTATCTACACTCAGTACAAGTGTAAACAGATCCAGTGTGTTCAGTAATTAAAGGCCCCTCCATCCATACGGATATTCAATGTGTAGTTTTAAGTTCATCGAAAAATGGAGATTTGCTGAAAATGTGCTCATCCGAGATTGTTTCTTCATCAGACTTGCTCAGCAATGGATGCTCTGCAGTGAATGGGTGCCGTCAGAATGAGAGTCCAAACAGCTGATAAAAACATCACAATAATCCACAAGTAATCCACAGCACTCCAGTCCATCAGTTAACATCTGGAGAAGACAAAAGCTGAAACACATCCAGCATTAAGACGTTTTTAACTAAAATACATGCTACATTTCTACAAACCTGATGAAGAAACAAACTCATCCTAATCTCGGATGAGCACACTTTTTTTTAGCAAATCTCCATTTTTGACTGCACTATTCCTTTAACAAAAGCCCTACATCTGTCAAAAGTCTGGCGGGTCATGCAATTGACTTGTTTTGCGTCATTCGACAGACGTTTGAGATGCATTTACAGTAAATGCATCTGTGAACTGGGTCAGTGACATTACAGGACTGCTACTGAAGCACACTGTTGTAGGGGTCTGGTGAGCACTGTGTGTGTGTGTTGGAGTCAGAGGTCAGGCAGGACATGTGATTGAGCTCATGAAACAAGATGTCATCCGCTTGAGAATAACTGCATCTGTTTGTCCGCAGACGGGTCGTCCCTCTGTCGGAGGGTCAGGACTTTCAGAGTCCGTGTTAGCAGAGAATGAGTCCACAGCGTCTTCCCAGATTGCACTGGGAGCTCCTGTCATACCACAGCCCAGCGGCACACCCAGCGCCCCTCCTCCTGCCACCCCGAGCAAGGTCAGCGACCTTTGACCTTCATCACACGGCAAAACCATAGCGTGATCTATGCACTTCTGCCACATTTCAGAAATGTGCAATACAGTTAAAAGTGTATGCTTATGTCTCAGTAACTGATGCCTCTGTCATGGTAGATGTAAATGACTCTGTGTGTGTCTGTAGGAGGAGGAGAGCCTCCGCGCTCAAGTCAAGGATCTGGAGGAGAAGTTGGAGACGCTGCGGATGAAGCGCTCGGAGGATAAAGCCAAGCTGAAGGAGATGGAGAAGCACAAGATCCAGCTGGAGCAGCTGCAGGAGTGGAAGAGCAAGATGCAGGAGCAGCAGAACGAGCTGCAGAAGCAGCTCAAAGAGGCCAAGAAGGTGCTGGAGACAGAACACACTCAGATCAGTCACACAGAGCGAATCGGCACCAGAAATTACAATTTACAGTATAGCGCAGAATGGTACAGAATTTAACCAATTTTGGACAAATAAAAAAAAATAGAACAGACAGTGTCTGAAAAAAATCATAGTTAATAGTTTCATAAGTTAAAGTTTTATGAATTCAATTGATTAGACATGCCTTTTGGTTATTAAGATGTAACTAAAGCCTAGAAACAGAATCCAGGAAAGAATAAAAATTTGGAAAGAATAAAGTTTATTTAATAGGGCCGTAAAATGACTTTTGTTAAGTTGTAAAAAATTTTATCGTTTCAATTCATTAGGCATACTTTTTTGATTTACTAAAATTTAATTTAACCATTAAAATGAGATTCTGAAAGAACAAACAAACAAAAAACTATTTGGAAAAAAATAAAATGGATTTGGGTAAAAATAAAACGGACTTCATAGGATGCTGAAAATGTCGTTTTTGTTAGGCTTTTAAAAATTGGTGTCGTCAATTAATTAGACGTCCTTTTTTATTACTAACATTTTATTTTGTTTAATAGGGCCGTAAAATGACTTTTGTTAAGTTGTAAAATTTTTTATCGTTTCAATTCATTAGGCATACTTTTTTGATTTACTAAAATTTTATTTAACCATTAAAATGAGATTCTGAAAGAACAAACAAACAAAAAACTATTTGGAAAAAAATAAAATGGATTTGGGTAAAAATAAAACGGACTTCATAGGATGCTGAAAATGTCGTTTTTGTTAGGCTTTTAAAAATTGGTGTCGTCAATTAATTAGACGTCCTTTTTTATTACTAACATTTTATTTTGCTATTAAATCAGAATCTGGAAAAATTAAAACAGATTTCATTGGGCCTTAAAATAAAAATAAATTGTGGTTAAATGTCACGATTTCAGTTAATTAGGCATGCTTTTTAATTATTAAAACAATTTAACAATTAAAATGGAGTTGTGCAAAACACTGGAAAATGCAGAATTCTGAAAAAAATAAAACTGATTACACAGGGCCCTTTATTTGTTAAACTTTTTAATAAACTGTTTTTAAATGGTTAAATAGGTCCACGATTTCAGTTAATTAGATGTGTTTGGATTGCTAAAATTTAATTTAACCATTAAAACAGGATCCAGAAAAAATTAATCTGGAAAAAAAATAAAATTTATTTGAGAAAAAATAAAGATGTGGTAAAAATAAAAACGGATTTTATGGAGAGAGATTATCTCAAAGAGCTGCTTAACTTCAGTTTAGCCTCAAGTGCAGGTTTGATAATTAAATAGATATTGCCCTCGTTAATAGCTTTATTATTTTTTTAGTAGCTTGTGGCGTAGCTGAGTACAAACAAGTTTGGCTGTTTTAACTAAGTTAGAATGAGAGCATCATGTGAATGTAGTTCAGAGTAATTCAGTTGTAAGTCTGACAGACGTGAAGCTGAAATCCCCTGATCAAACCCTGAGCTCCTCTGGTCTCAGGAGGCGCGCGAGGCTCTGGAGGCTAAAGACCGCTACATGGAGGAGATGGCAGACACGGCAGACGCCATCGAGATGGCCACGCTGGACAAAGAGATGGCGGAGGAGCGGGCCGAGTCTCTGCAGCAGGAGGTGGAGGCTCTGAAGGAGAAGGTGGAGGAGCTGAGTATGGATCTGGAGATCCTCAAACACGAGATCGAGGAGAAGGGCTCGGACGGAGCGGCCTCCAGCTTCCACGTCAAGCAGATGGAGGAGCAGAACGGACGTCTGAAGGAGGCTCTGGTCAGGTAAAGCACGTCTGTGTGGGGCTCATCACCATCATTTGTTTTCATATCCGTCGATAATATCGATAATTATCACCATATATGTGACCCTGGACCACAAAACCCAATCATAAGGGTCAATTTTATGAAATTGAGATTTATGCAACATCTGAAAGCTGAATAAATAAGCTCTCCATTGATGTATGGTTTGTTAGGATAGGACAATATTTGGCTGAGATACAACTATTTGAAAATCTGGAATCTGAGGGTGCAAAAAAATCTAAATATTGAGAAAATCATCTTTAAAGTTGTCCAAATGAAGTTCTTAGCAATGCATATTACTTTAATTTTCATGTTTTAATTATAATAACACATTTAATTGCTTGTATTTTTGTTCACATTTTCATTTTTAATAATGAAACCTACAGGACGAGCATTTAGGCTTAATGCATTTATTTTAGGGCTGTCAAAATTAACGCGTTAATAATTAGAGTATTAAAAACTTGAGAAGTATTAATTTTAGGTACATTTAGAACAGATAAAAAGGTGCGATTAATCACGAGTTAACTCATGACAATCGTGCGATTAATCGCGATTAAATATTTGAATCGATTGACAGCCCTAATTTATTTATTTATGATTAAGAGAACAGATAAACAGAGACAGTGCTTCACTTTTCATGCTCAACACCGCAGTGACAGCGGAGGACACTAAAAACAACAAAATATGCTAGGGCTGGGTAAAAAATAAAAAATTCTAATTTTTATGAACCAATATTGATTCTTAAATCCCAATCGATGCTGTTTGCAGTTGATGAATGAACAGTACATATAGTGCGCCTACCATCCAATAAATCGCAATAGGCTAAGCTTTGTGCATTGTTACTTTTGATATGAAACAAAGCCTCAGATTTCAAATTCTGTCCATTTTATTAGGAAATTCAAGCAATAAATACCGTTTTGGCGCTCTTTAATGTGGCGTGATAGATCGCTGTAGACACCTCAGATCAAGCGAAGCGGCAGCGCAGTGTTTTCGCTTTACTACTAATTTTAATTATTCTGAATGAGTTTTTTTTTTTTTTTTTCATTTATGATTGGTCTTATCATGATAATCACAGTTAAAACCACACATATAGCACACCTCAATACCATGGTAAAAATATAACTTTTTTAGGTATCTGTATGAAAAACAGTAGTCTAAAGACATTTAGTATAAATGCACACATGCTATAGCTTAATCAAAATACTGTAATTATATTCCATTACTCCTTTAATACATTTAATTCATGTCTACATTAATAATATATTAAAATTCGAATCAAATACCCACATTTCTGTCACAATACCACGATGCAGTTAGCGTTCCTACAGTAAATCCACGGTAAATATTACTTCATGATTTGATTCACAAGCTTGCGATTCAGTAGGATTTTAGTCTCGATTCATTTGAATATATAGGCAATCAGGTACATAAGTGTCAATTTTTTTCAAGAAATAAAGGTCTCACAACTGAAGCAACACAATAAACAGTTGGTCAGTTGGTACATTACTTATGTTACTAACATTGAAGTGATTTGTAAACAAACATTTAAATTGCACACAAGGCTGTTTAATAATAAAAATATATTACTGTATATGATACAAGTTTATTATAATAACTATCGAGTTTATGGTCATTAAATGTAAATGTGACGTTCTGTTGTTGATCTCAGGGTGTTTTATTCATGTCTTTCTGTGGTTAAATCAATGATTGATGGATTGCATAATTGATTTCAGTGAGTTGTTCTGTTTCTCCTGATGTTTATTTTGTGCTGTAACTAGTAGTAAAGAGGAAAAGATGATCGCTTTATTACAGTAATCTGTCACCACACACAAAAACATCATTCATTGATTGAATCTGGTGATAAAATGTATATAATTTTAAAGCTCAGGATTTGTTTTGTATGAAAAGTATGATATATTGTGTGTGTGTTTTCAGGTGGACGCAGCGTTAGGAGCTGAGGAGATGGTGGAGACACTGACGGAGAGAAATCTAGACCTGGAAGAGAAAGTGCGGGAACTCCGAGAGACCGTCAGTGACCTGGTGAGACTCATGTTCAGCATTCAACACAAAAGCAGGCAGAGTGTGAACATTGATCTTCCTTCTCTGACGCGTCGCTCAGGAAGCAATAAACGAGATGAACGACGAGCTGCAGGAGAACTCGCGCGAGACTGAGCTGGAGCTGCGCGAACAGCTGGATCTGGCCGGAGCTCGAGTCCGAGAGGCTCAGAAGAGAGTGGAGGCGGCGCAGGAGACGGTGGCTGACTATCAGCAGACCATCAGCAAATACAGAGAGCTCACCACTCACCTGCAGGTCAGAGAGACGCACACGAGAACTCAGCAGTGAGATGCAGATGTGTGTTGACAAGCAGCAAAATAAAATGCATGCAAACAGATTTAATTGAATGGATTAGGGAAATTTTCTCACCGGTTAATCGACATGTGACAACACCAGTAATACCAGTATCACCGTGGGGGTGGAGGTTTTCCTCGCTTTCCTTCACTTTTAAATAGCTTGTAAAAGCGGCGTGTGCATTTTTAAAATTCGAATCAAATACCCACATTTCTGTCACAATACCACGATGCAGTTAGCGTTCCTACAGTAAATCCACGGTAAATGATGGCGATTTGTAGATTGAAAAACCTGACTATATCGTTGCGCACAGTGCTTCTCCTGTTTGTCAGAGCTTTCATCTGACTTTAAAATCAGCGAGGCATTTGTGTTGTTTGCTGAATTCAAGCGCTTCACACTAGATCTCACAGCGCTGTTTCAAAATTATATCGCGATAATTATCGATTTATCGCCCAGCCCTACGTCTGTGTTCTCCTGCATGTTCCTGAGATGTGTGTGTACGTGTGTGAATGTGTGTGTGCGTGCGTGCGTGCGTGTGTGTGTGTGCGTGTGTGTGATCAGGATGAGGGATCTGTCGTCGTCGGAGAAGCAGGAGCACGTGAAGCTCCAGAAACAGATGGAGAAGAAGAACTCTGAGCTGGAGACTCTGAGAGCGCAGAAGGAGAAGCTGCAGGAGGAGATGAAGCAGGCTGAAGCCATGATAGACGAGCTCAAGGAGCAGGTTAGTTCAAGTAGCGTCAATTCGGCGTCAATTGCTTGAGTGCAATTCAAGCAACAACAAAATACGTCGTCAAACTCGCTTTAGCCTATATATAGAACATAGAACTTTTATTAACAAAACGAATAAACATACACCATGCTGTAGGCTATGCCTAATATAAAATAACAAATAACTTACATAAAGTTTAAATGGGTATACAAAACTGAAGATCAGTAAACACTGTGATGCAGAACGTTTATTAGCAAAACGAATAAGAAAGCTTGGAGGCACGGCATACACCTTGATGTCAATTAAAATAAATAAACTACACAAAGTTTAAATAAAGTAAAAATCAACAAACATTGTGGAACCAATTAGCTCTTTCCCCACCATTGACGAGTTATCTCGTCTTTTAGAAGAAAACGCTTCCCCGCCAATGACGAGTTTTTACGGCTTTCCCTCACCTTTTTGCTTAACATTATATTTTTTTTTACGAAACCTACCTATATTGAAGTGTTGATAAAAAAAGAATGCTTTAAGCTAGAATAAAACGGATATTTTTTGTTTAAAAGTAGAGGCTCTGATCTTTATTTCGGTGTATTGCATATTCAAATATTCATACAGCAAAATATACTGGAGGCCATCAAATTTTAGTGAAAATCATCAAAATCGCTGGCGGTGGCTGCCAACTTTATTCAAAACATGCTGGCGGGGAAAGAGTTAAATAAGAAACGAATGTTTAAAAAAACTTCCAAATCACCTTAGATAAACGGCAGAAGTCAACAGGCAAAAAATGAACAATTCGGACCAACTGAGCTGAAAAACCAAAACCAAACTACCTTATTATCCAACCTTATCATTTGCGATTAATATAAAGTTATCACAATAAAACCTTTTATCTTTTAGCTCAAGTGAGCATTGGCTTAAGCCATTTTTTTAATATTATTTTTTAAATATTTTTGTTTAAATTATAAAAAGATATATTTTTATGTAATATATTCACCACTGTATGTGAAAAATATTGATTATGCAAATGTCAGTGTTGATCAATATAATATTGACTTTAAAACAATGTTATGTATTATAAAAAGTAATGGTGACTTAAATTCTATTTCAAACTAATAATGATTTTTTAAAACATGTTTTTACTGTATGGTATGCAGAACACTAACTTTTTTGTTAAAGTGATCACTAACTTAATTGAGCTGGTTTGATTTTACAATTACTCATTGGGTTTAAATATGTTTAAATAGTACATTTTTTTTATTTAAATGTAGATGATTTTTAAATAATAAATAAATATGGTAATCCTGCTGCCGGTGTTAAATGAAATATGACTAAACCTGGATCCACTTCCATTTTTCTTTAAACCTTTTTGTATGCCACCGTTGTAAAGCTGAGGTTTTCTCCGCTGCATGAACAGGAAGTGAACCGAGAGCTGACCAATCAGCAGAGCAGCTCGGCCGAGCAGCTGCAGCAGCCGACCGCTGAACTCTTCGACTTCAAGATCAAGTTTGCTGAGACCAAAGCTTACGCCAAGGTACAGTCTGCCGTCATTTCAGCCGAGGCTTGAAACACACCGAGAACGAGCGCTACAGGTGTGTGTGTGTGTGTGTGTGTGTGTGTGCAGGCCATCGAGATGGAGCTCCGCAAGATGGAGGTGAATCAAGCGAACCGTCAGGTGTCTCTGCTGATGTCCTTCATGCCCGAGTCCTTCCTGAGACACGGAGGAGACCACGACTGCATCCTCGTGCTGCTGCTCATCCCCAGACTCATCTGCAAGGTCTCTGTCTGATGCTCTTTTACTGCCTGCAGAGACTAGGAAATCAGTGTGAGGCTTTAGCACAGTTATTTCAGTGAGCTCTTTCAGGATTTAAGACCATTTTCTGCTTGTTGCTTACAGCACCTTTAATTTTAGTATCGACTTCAGACCAGACTGTACAGCTGAAATAAGATCAAATGTAAATATTAGATGAAACAAGTTCAAGATGAAGCACTAAAATTATTAACTTGAAAAAATAAAAAGTTTAACTGAATTAGAACTAAAAAGGAAATGAAAATCAATTAAACCTTAATAGTAATATTTAAATATGCACTAAAATTAATAATGAAATAAATACAAATTAGAACTGAACTAAAACTGAAATAAAAATAAATTTAACCTAAATAATAATATTTAAATATGCACTAAATTACTACTAATTACCAAGCTACAATGGAAATAAAATTAAATGATACCTAAATAGTAATATTTAAAATAATAATAATAATAAAAATGACAAGAGCACACAACAAAATGACCAAAAAATAAGGGAAATGTATTAAAAGTAAACGGAAAATGTACAAATAAAAGCTATTTCAAAATATGAATAACTGTATATTCTATGAAAAATATTAAAATAACGCTGATTGGCAGAAATACCACAAGCTCCTTAAAATGTTTAAAGTGCTTGAATTTAGCTCTGAAATACCTAGAAAAGTGCCAGAAAATGAAAAAGGAATATGTGTATTTGGTAATGCATATAATACATTATAATATATAATATAATATAGTTGCACACGGGAATCAACAAAATATGGCTTCTGCACCTCCTTTGTCTAAAGAAAGAAGTAAACACATTTATTATTGAGCAAATATTAGTGACCTGATGTCTGATGACTTTTACGAGACTGTTGATGATTCCTGGATTTGCTGCTGATGTAAAATGCGTGCATCAGGCGTCATCTGCATTAATAGAAGCACCTTTAAATGATGAACTGTGGTGTATGTGAGCGCACTGATGGTCGTTGTGTCTCTGTGAAGACTGGTAATGGTCTGTAATGTGCTGCAGGCGGAGCTGATCAGCAGACAGGCGCAGGAGAAGTTCGATCTGAGCGGTGGCTCTCCGGAGCGCTCTGGACTGAGAGGAGCCGCCGGAGAGCAGCTGAGCTTCGCGTCCGGTCTGGTTTATTCCCTGACGCTGCTGCAGGCCACGCTGCACAAATACCAGCTGTACGTGTCCATCTTTACTCCACCACACACTCACACTCTTACTGAAGCCTGTGCATGCAGTTCATAAACAAGCTTCTTCTGCTCACCAAAGATGCATTCATTTAATCAAAAATACAGGAAACTAAACAGTCATATTGTGAAGTGTTATTGCAATTTAACATAACGGCTTTTCTTTCTTAATACACTGTAAAATGTAATTTATTCCTGTCAAGCAAAGCATCATTACTCCAGTCTCCAGTGTCACATGATCCTTCAGAAATCATTCTAATATGCTGATTTATTATCAGTGTTGGAAACCGTTTTGCTGCTTAATATTTTTTATAACCTTTGCTACTTTCTTCTTCAATGAATAAAAAGCTCAAAAGAGCAGCATTTATTCAAAATAGAAATTCTTTCTAACAATATATGTCGTTACTGTCACTTTTTTATTTATTTAACACATTCTTGCTGAATAAAAGTATTAATTTCTTAAAAAATAAAAAATTTACTGACCCCAAAGTTTTGAACAGTAGTGTATATTGTAACACAAAATTTCAATTTTGAATAAACACTGTTCTATTTTAACTTTTTATTCATCAAAGAATCCTGAAAAAAGTATCACAGGTTCCAAAAATATTAAGCAGCACAAGAGTTTCCAGCACTGATAATAAATCAGTATATTAGAATGATTTCTGAAGATCATGTGACACTGAAGACTGGAGTAATGATGCTGAAAATACAGCTGCGCATCACAGAAATACATTACAGTTTAACACATATTCACATAGAAAACAGCTGTTTTAAACCGCAATAATATTTCACAAGATTACTGTTTTTACTGTATTTTTGATTAAATAAATACAGCCTTGATGAGCAGAAGAGACGCCATTAAAAATCTCACTGATCCCAAACTTCTGAATGGCAGTGTTATATATACATATGCACACACATAATTCAGTGTGTATAAATGCAATGCTTCTCAAGGAAAGCTCTTTTCAGATGCAAGGGTTGATGTGTGTGGTTTGCGTGTGTGATTGGCTCCTCAGAGCTCTGAGTCAGTGCGGCGTGGAGGTGTACAAGCGCATGGGCACGCTGTACTCGGAGATGAGCGTTCACGAGCGATCGCTGGACTTCCTCATCGATCTGCTGCATAAAGATCAGCTGGACGAGACAGTGCAGGTGGAGCCGCTCACCAAAGCCATCAGATACTACCAGGTGCGCCACACTCACACACTCACTCACACACACACACACACACTCACACACACACACAGCAGAGCCCTCTGGAATCAGACCTCTGTCGCTTATAACTGATGTGATGATTGTGTTGCAGCAACTGTACAGCGTCCATCTGTCGGATCAGCCTGAGGACTGCAGCATACAGCTGGCGGATCACATCAAGGTACAGAACCTCACTCCTCCACTGAACAGCAGACACGTCTCGCCTCATTCTGCTTCCGTCACATGACCTTTCACTGGGATGCTGTTGACTCAGGATCAGAAAACACTCGGACAATCACGTTCAGTTTACTTTAGTTTCCTTTATTTGAAAGTAGCTTTTAATTTAATTTCATCTTTCGTTTTGAGTTTAGTGAATTATTTAGTCATTTTCTTATGTGTCATTCATTCATTCATTTGTTTTAAAATATGATTATTTAGGTTTCTTTTTTATTTTATTTATTTTATTTTATTTTGACTTCAGTTTTGGCTTTTATTTATTTACAGTGATTTCAGTGCCAGTGTTATTTTAATATAATTGATGTACTATCATAGTTTTTATTAATACTTTTAATTAGTTTTTATTTTTAGATTTCTTGTTTTCATTTTAAATTTGTTTAATTTCTTTGTAATTTTATTATGTGCTTTTGACCTTTTTTTTTAATATTACCATTTAATTTATTTTTTGTTTTAGTTCAGTTTTGTTTATTTCTAGTTAGTAATTTCAGTGCCAGTGTTATTGTAGTATCTTTGATATACTATTACAGTTTTAATCAATATTTTTAATTTGTTTTTATTTTTATATTTTCTGTTTTCATTTTAGTTTGTTTTATTTGCTTTGTTGTGTTTTTGTCACTTATTAGTTTTTTTGTTATTTTAAAATATGTTTATATAGTTGGTTTTTATTTCAGTTTTAATTATTTTAGTACTTGAAGTTCAATATAAAGAAAATGAAAAATAAAATTTTGGCAACTAGCTGAAGTTTATTTTTTTTATTTTTATTTTTTTTTGTATTTTCTTTTATTTTAGGCAACTTTTTTTTTTTTTCAAGTAACAGATTTTTTAAAATAAAATTTCAGTTTTAATTTTAGTTTCCGTTCAGTACTTCAACTTAGTTATTTCAATTAGTTGTCAATGCAGCATTTCAATTTATTTTTTATGTAATATTTTGCTTAATTTTTCTATAATTTCAGTTATCAAAAATGGTTTTAATGGTTTCAGTGAATGAATATAAGGAGTGCTTCAGTCCTTGTGCTGGTTTCTGACTGCGTCTGAATAATGCAGTAAAACACGACTGATCTGTGCCCTGCAGTTCACCCAAAGCGCTCTGGACTGCATGGGGTCAGAGGTCGGCCGTCTGCGGGCCTTCCTGCAGGCGGGACAGGAAGGGGCGGAGCTCTCTGTGCTCCTGAAGGACCTGGACACTTCCTGTGGAGACATTGGTCAGTTCTGTAAGAAGATCCGCAGGAGGATGCCAGGAACGGATGCTCCGGGGATTCCTGCCGCGCTCAGCTTCCCTGCTCAGGTGCTCACGTCTGATAACACTCTCTCACACACACACACACTCACACTCACACTCACACACACACACACACAGGTTTGTTTTTGTGAGTTGTCGGGACATTCCATAGGCGTAATGGTTTTTCTACTGTACAGACCGTATATTCTATTGCCCTACCCCACCCCTACCCCTAACCCTGCCCCTCACAGGAAACTTTGTGCATTTTTACTTTCTCAAAAAAACTCACTCTGTATGATTTATAAGCGTTTTGAAAAATGGGGACATGGGGCAATGTCCTCATAAGTCACCTTCTCCTTGTAATACCTGTCATACCCATGTCATTATACAAATTTATGTTCTCATATGTCCAAAAACACGCACTCACTCACTCGCTCACTCACACACACACACACACACACACACACTCACACACTCACAAACACACACACGCTCGCTCGCACGCACGCACGCTCGCTCGCTCGCTCGCACACACACTAAATATACACTGATAAATGAGGCCCCTGGAATTTTATTGTGCAGTATATGTACGAACCCTGGTATTATTGATATACCTTTAATTGTTAATAATGTGAGTTAGATTTTATATTTAATATTAATGCCATTTTGATTGAAAGTTTTTGTAATTTTGTGTTTGGTCAATTGTATTTTATTTTTCATTATTTGTGTTTATTTTTTATATTATGTTTGTGTTAATATTTATTTTGTGTGTGTGTCTGCAGGTGGGCGAGGCGCTGGCGGACTGCAGGAAGCAGCTGACGCGTGTGGTGGCCGTTCTGCAGGAAGTAGCAGCGGCAGGAGCTCAGATGATCGATCCGCTCGCCGAGCCAGAGGGACTGACGCCGCTGAAGATAGAAGACGTGATGTTCAAAGCAGTGGATCAGGTACACACACACTCACACACACACACACACATGATCACAATATAACACAAAGCTAAAGAGACTATATTTGGATATTTAAAATTAGTTCATGAAGGTTATGAATAATTCAGCAAGTATGACAATACAATTTGCATCATTGAAGTTGTTTGTTTCTTCTGTTTCCAGATAATTCTGCCATTGTGAATCAGGTGAACATTGAAGATTTGAAGCAGATGAAGGTAAAACATTCATATACACAGTATTGGATTAGTTTGTTTAGGATTCACTGATTCGTTTTGATTTCTGCATTTCACTCTTTGTAGTTTCGCTGGTTGTAAAGTGTCTTTTTTGAAAGAATAAACCTCATAAATCCCACAAATCTCTTTTCTCTAGACCTTCATTAAACTGATGAAGAAGCAGCAGAAGGAACTGAACACACTAAAGAAACGACACGCTAAGGTCAGTGACACTGTCAGACCATCATTAGAACGCTGTTTCTTTCTGGAAGGATTCCTGTCCGCCGATGAAATGATGAACGCGTCTTCTGCTCGCAGGAACACAACGCCATGCAGAAATCACACTGCACGCAGGTGGACAGAATGGTGGCTCAGCATGACAAGGAGAAGTTCTCGCTGGAGAAGCTGCTGGAGAAGGCCATCAAGAAGAGAGGGTGAGTGAAGCATGATGGGAAACATCATCTCAGTCAATCAGTCCTGATGTTATTGTTCTCTGTTTTAGTGAAAACAACTGCTCCGAGTTAAAGAAGGAGACTGCCATAAAGGTTGAGATGCTCACGACAGACCATAAAGAAAAGGTACAGAAGACAGTCCCATCATGCTTTGTGTCTTATTTACTCGCCCGTGGAGCATTTGACCATATTACACCCTAACAATGACAAAATCACATGCTCTGATCGGACTGGCTTCAGCAATTAGGCAGGAATCAGTATAAGAATAAGCTTCAGTAGGTTTCTTTACATGCACTAATTTTCATAAATAATTCCGAACTGATTTCAGTTTTTGAAAGTTCTGTTTATATGAAGCCTAAACTTTACAGTCTGATTCACATGTTAGTTTTCAAGTGCATTACCTGAATTCTGAACAAAACTTGAGCGCATGCAAAACCACTGTGAAAATGTCACTGGAGCTCCTGCCAATGTAATTGTTTTAAATGGCATCTAACAGAAAAAAAATGACTTTTGATTGATCAGATTTAATTGGCAGTTAATCAAATCCTAAATGTTCTAGATATTTCTAGTTATGCATCAGTCTAGATCCTGTGCTTTAGATCTTTCTGAAGACACTTGAAGTCATGATTGACCGCTGATGTACTTATGTAAACCCCAGCCGTCTGTGTTTGAATGGTTTTTATTCACAATAGAGTTTGTCAGCAAGCGTGTCTGTTTTGCTGGTGTTCCTTCCTCTCAGGTGAAGGACATGGTGGCGCAGCACACTAAAGAGTGGTCAGAGATGATCAACTGTCACAGCACAGAGGAACAGGAAATGAAGGACGCCCATGTGACGCAGCAGTGTGAGCTCCTCAGGAAGCTGCTTGCCAGCGTTCAGGAGCAGCAGACACTGCAGCTCAAGCTCATCCACGAGCGGTGAGAGACACGACCGACACACGTGTGTTCACTGTACGCTAAACTACCATCACTACCATGACTATCATCACTGTCATCACTACCGTTACTATCGTCACTACCGTCACTATCATCACTGTCATCACTACCGTTACTATCGTCACTACCGTCACTATCATCACTGTCATCACTACCGTTACTATCGTCACTACCGTCACTATCATCACTGTCATCACTACCGTTACTATCGTCACTACCGTCACTATCATCACTGTCATCACTACCGTTACTATCGTCACTACCGTCACTATCATCACTGTCATCACTACCGTTACTATTGC